GCTGATGGCAAGCACTCCACCACTGAGCAACACTCTCAGGATGCGGGGAAGTGGCTGTTGATTGGCCACACGCAAAGGTGGAAAGTGACCAGATGAGGACCACACACCTAGGAAGGCCTGAGACTGGGACCAGAATGAGCATGTAGGGATTGAGCAGCTGGAAGCAGGGGACCAAAAGGGACTGGGGTGCCATGAGAGGTCCTGGTGCCAGGGCTGCCCCCACATACATCATGATGTGGTCCCGAGCTCTGCTGTACCATACTGCTGCTTTCCTCTCCCCCTCACCATGGTGCCCATCTTGGTCTCCACCTGTCCATGGGGCTGTGCTCAGGGTTTTTGTTGTTAGCTGTAAGTTTACATTAGGCCTATGCTCCATCTTGAGCTAATTCTCTATCTGCTCTTAACAAGGTGGAGGTTCATGTTTTGTCTGGCACATGGAGTGTACTAGTTTTCTGTGTCACATCGTAAATGACCACACTCTTATTTACTTGATAAACTCACACTTGTCATCTTAGTTCCTGGGGTCAGCAGTTTGAGCGGCTGAGGCTCTCCCAGACCAGCACCAGGGTGTGGCCATGTGGTGCCTCTCTCTCCTCTGAGGCCTGATGACAAAGAATCCACTTTCCAGTTCATTTGAGCTGCTGGCAGAACTCATTTGCCTGCAGTTGTAAGAGCAAGGGTCCAGCTTGTCACAGGCCATCCTCGGCTCCCACAGACTCTTAATGAAGCCTTGTCTAATAAGCTTTCAAAATACACTGGCTTTCTCATCAGCCAGAGAGTCTGTGGCAGCTGCTTAGGACATGATGCAATACACCCCTGGGGATGTTATCCCTGCCACAGGAGCCACTCACGCTCAAGGGATGAACCATCCATTTGACTCTCCTTGCCACGGGGACGCACCACTTTCTGAAAGACCATCTTTTGTCCACTGACCAATATGAGCACTTTTGTACAAAATCAATTAACCAGAGTGTGCACCCATTTCTCCTCCATCTGTCTGTATGTCTGTTAGCCAAAAACATGTGGTCCTGATAACTAGTTTTAGACTAGTCCTCTAACTAACTTGAAACCAGGGAATATGAGTTTTCCTTTCCTTTCCTTTTCTTCTTCTTCTTCTTTTTTTTTAGGGTGGTTGGGTTTGTGATAGGGGCTCACCCTATAGCCCAGGCTGGGCTTGAACTTGAGATCCTCCTGTTTCTGCTTCCATTGTGTGACCTACAGTTAGTTTAACCCTTTGCTATCCAGTGAAGCAGACTTAAGAGAGCAACAGTTTTCAGAGATTGTTCCCCCCCATCCTGGGCTGGGACCCCCCCCCCGGGGGGCTTTGTCCTCAGAAGTTCTGTGAGGCTCTAATGGGATAGGAGCTACCACCGGGCTCTAGACTGGCTGCCTAAACTGTCAGGCATCTGGAGAATAAACAGCAGCTTACTTCCTGGTGCTGGCCTTGCTCTGTGGAGATCTGGGCGCCCCTTAGAAATCTGCTCTGCCGTCAGCCAGGTTGCAAGGGTGTCTGCTCCAGCAACCAGCAACCAGGTTCCATTCAGACACATCTTACATCCAGTAGCTGCTTCCTACCATCAGGAGTTAGGGAGATGCTGGCCAAGTAGGTGGCCAAAGCCAGTGCCCATGAGGACAGGCCTTGCACACTGCTCTCGGCCAAGCGTCCCTGTGCCCCTGTGCCTGTCTTGCATGCTGCCAAAACCCATGGCTGAAGCAAAGGGCAGTGACTTTGCCCCAGGGGCCCATAGTCACCAGTCCAGCAGCCAAGTGGACACTCTCATGTGTCACATTCTGAGGCACTGGCACCCACAGAGGGGAAGAATGAGCCAAAGGAATCCACAGTCGAGCAGGAGCCAGGACTGGGGTGTCCTTGACCAAAGAGGAGATGGCTTGTGAATGACAGGCAAGAGACTTCTACTGCTGGTGACCCAGCCATTTAGTGATCAGAAGGCACCTCCGGGCTCTGGAAGCAGGAGGTTCTCCTCTGGACAGATGGTGACAATTACAGAGCTTGGGAGGACAGAGGAAGAGCAAGCTTGGAACCTTAAAGAATCACATCCAGCAAGCCTACATTCCAGGTCCATTTGTGGCACCCTCTCTGATCCCTAGCCAGCATAATGGAGGTGGCTTGGCTAGAGACTGAGGCCATGTTCCTATTCCTACATTGGATGTCTCTGAGGTGCAGAACAGGGGCCTGGAAGGGCTTTCCAAACACCAGAGCTCAGAGCCTGCTGACTTCCCACAGGCCTCCAGCTGAAGAAGGCCCCTTGCCCTGATTTCTCCAGCCTTGGAGCGCTTGAGCTCTTTGAACCTCCCCATGGTTCCTCTTCCCTTGGCAGGACAGATCTCTTAAGTAGTGCCTGCCTTGCCTCGGCTGGCTCCTTCCACATTTTCCTTGCCTTGATACCCATCATGAATGTCTAGGCATAGGCATTTGTGGAGGGTTGCTGACATCATGGAATGACTGACTGCTGGCTATGAACACCTGGCTATGACTTCTGGCCCATTCAATGGGTAGACACAATGTTGCTCTTGGAGCATGGAGATGGTGGCGCAGGTCTCAGCTCTGCTGTCCTGTTTTCTCACCTGTACTGAGAGCTATTACTGTTAACCCTAGTCTTCTGGTTACTGCAGAATGGGGTCACCATGACATGATGGGCAGTGCTGGCTGGGCATGGGGAGGGTTAGGGTTAGGGCACAGGGGGCTGGGCTATCGATCTGGAGAGCAGCTGTGTGGGAAGCAGAATGTCTCACAGCCATCTGGGCTGGAGCTTGCTCTCAGACCCTGGACCAATGATGCTGATTCCTTGGTTATGTGTGACAGGCTGCCATGCCTGAGGTAGTTCACGCTAAGACTACTAGGATAGCAAACAGATGCAAGCTTGGGTCAGGATGGGAGCTAAACAACCATTGGCCAAGGCCATTTCTACAGCAGCCCAGGGCCTCTCCCATCAGCATTCCCCAGTGCCCAGAGAGTTAGGGCTCCCCAGAGTACAAGGAACTCAGCATTGCTCTCTACTATCCATCTAGAAGGGGTTCTGGCTGGTTCTGGTCTTGGAGGTCCTGAAGGTGTCAGACAACGCAGAACACTCTAAAGCAAAAGCCACTCTCATCTTATGAACAAATGGGGATAAAATAGGAGTTCAAGCCTTGCCTCACCTAATGGCTGGTGGTTGTGGACAGCCAGAGCCAGCCGGGCCTCCACACACTGAATGATGGTTGTAGAAGGTAACAAGCTAATTAGGTGAAAAGATCCAGCTGTTCCTTTCCCTTGTTCCCTTCTTCAGGAATTGTCCTAGATGTGACTGATTGGTTGTTTCTTCCAGAATGTGAGGATGCAGGGTGGACACGGGGGTCAGAAAGGGCATTCAGTGGTAGGCAGTCAAAACAGGTGATGAGGGCCAGCAGCAAGGCTTGGCACTAATTCCCTTGTATCACCCCCTCCCCCCATTCTTTCTTTTGAGACAGTCTCACACAATAGTCCAGCCTGGCCTCAAACTTGAGGCAATCCCCCTGCCTCAGCTGCCCAAGTACCATGCTCTCAGCTATGCACAGCCACAGCAGCTTGCAGTAACGTGTCAGTAGGACAGTGGTGTTCTGCTCTGAGGGCATGTGGGGGTGGACACAGTATCCATGTCATCAAGTTTTCCACAGACAGCAGCATCAAGCCTTCCAAAGAGCCTGGGGAACTTTCTCAAGGTCACACAGTACTAGGTGTGCTAGACCAGGGCCCACACACTCACCTTAGAGCCATTCTGACTGTCTCCTTCCTTCCTTCCTTCCTTCCTTCCTTCCTTCCTTCCTTCCTTCCTTCCTTCCTTCCACCAGCATTGCCTCTGGTTTCTTTTGGGTGGAAGGGACTCAGAAGTATTCAGAGGGGAGGTGGTATTGGGGCTGTTTCCCGACACTTTTCAGAGGGCCCAAGTGACTTGCTGGGATAGCCCCTGTGGATGGGGACGCCGTGAACACGCAGCCTTGTCTTGAGCTCCTGTGGGCCACTCAGGAGGACCCTTCTTTCTGCTGCCTCTTTTGATGGCTGCAACTTGAGCCTGATCCAGGACACGTGGCAGCAGTGCAGGTCTGATTCCTTTGTTAGATAGAAGTGATGAAGGATGAGTCTGCCCCCAGACTGGGTTCCAGACTATGTGGCTGAGCAGGGCAAGTTAGGGACCTGGAAGGAGATGGCAAGCAAAACCCTAGAAATTCGGTCTGCAGTGTAGTCCTGTCTGTGATTTGGAGCAAATGCCACCAAACAGGAGAGGGCAGTCCAACCCCTGGGCTGCATTTCTGGCACTGGCTGGAGGACTCTGGCTCAACTGCTTCCCCAGAAGACATGCCTGGTTCTGGCAGGACCACATGTCTGGAGAATGGGAGCCTGAATTGCTTTTAATTTCACAACCCATGGAGCAAAGTGTGGTGGCTGTCACCCGTAACCCTGGCATTAAGCTGGCTATCTCCCATCCAATCTGCTACGCTCTGCGAAGTACAGTGAGGCACCTCACTTGGAGTAGAGGCCTGACTCCAAGGGATTAAGTCCACCATGAAACTGCTTCAGCAACAGGGCACAGTTAGGGAACACTGGGCCTGGTGACACGAGGAGCCCTTCCCTGACAAAAGGAGCTCAGAACTCAGGGCCAGGATCTCTTGCTCATCTTTCTTTCCCATGGCATAACGTAGTGTTAATGGCAGTGGGTGGATCACCTCATGGCTCCCACCCACAATGGGGAAAATCCCTGAGGAAGACTGGTGAGTGTGGCCTAAGCCAACTGTCGGCTTTGGATGTTTCCATCTGGTCAGGGTTCCAGGTGTGGGCAACTTTGCCCAGGATGGCATGTGCGGGAAGCCCCAAGGGAAGGGGGACGGAATGAATTAGGCAAGCAAGCCACCCCTAACCCTAACAGAGGTGGGTCATGCCTGTAAAACATGATCAGCAAGGTTCCACTAAGGTTCTGCCAGGGACCTGTCGTTAAAGCCACAGTCAAGAAGACACCGTCCTCCAGTTCACTTGAACAGACATTTATTGAGCACCTACCAAGTGCAAGGCACTGTTAGGTGCCATAAGAGATACAGAGTGACCATATGGTCCCTGCCCGCGAGGAGCTCACAGTCTAGAGGGAGGCAACACAGTACACAGTTGGCTGCAGCTACACCTGCCAGAGTGGCAAGAGCCAGAAGCAAGACACCAAGTGCTGTGGGGTCACAGAACACCACAGGGTTGCTTCTGTTCAGAGCGCAAAGACGACTCAGGGCTGGGCCTAGGAGAAGGTGAGAGTGCTGTAGGGCAGAGGGGCATTCTAGAAAAAAAAAAAAGTAAGCGTGGATAGGGCCCACTGGGAGCTCAGGTCTGGGTGGCTGGGTGAGAATTATGGCAGGGGACAGAAAGTGGACAGTCAAGGGCGGCCACGGGACACAGTCACGGACACTAGGCTCAGAGGGTAGGAACTGGATGCTCTGGTTGCAGCTGTAGAAGATCACAGAAGAAGAAAATGATGATGCAAAATGACCTTCTAGATGAACTTGAAGCCCTGTGGAGTCTAGGAGAGGAGAGCTGTAAAGTGGCCTAGTGTTGAGGGACCAGTGTCATGGGTGGAAATGGTGGGCAGTAGTAATCCAAGGGCCAAGAAGTATATAAGGGACCTCTCGGGGTTAGATGAGAGAAGATGACAGAATGTGGGCTGAGTTTCTGGGAACTAAGGCCCCACAAGGCTAGTAACAGGACTGGTGTCACCATAGTAGATGGTGGTATTAGGAAAGAGTGGTGGCTCCTAGAATAAGAGTAGTCACTCAAAATGTAGTTCCAGACTAACTGGAAGTGAAGAGCCTCTGGGCGTCCCTCTAGAGCAGAGGCCACACCTCAGGGTGGTGCCTGACAGCCTGCATTTTATTTTAGCAAGGGCTGCCCTTTCTGATATGAGGCCCAAGGGTGGCCCACTCTGAGAATCACCTGTTGAGAAACCATATTAAGGATTGGCCTTCAAGGAGGAGAAAGGAATAAAGAACCTCTAGAAGGAAAATAGAAGAAATAAGGCCAATGGCCTCACTATCGGTAGCTACTACCTTAACAATGAAAACAGCAACCCAGTGATTTCCCAGGCTACTCCCAGTAGTGGATAGATGCCAGGTTTGCACACCGGGGAGGGAAAAAGCAGGAAGTTGGAGCAAAGCATTAGCAACAAAATGCAGGGGGTTTTAACTTCAAGGATCAAAGGTACCTGGGGAGCAACAGGGAGGTGGTAATGCTGGGGAACAGTGCACTGATGGACCCAGCTGAGATGGCTCAGAATGTTGAGGATGGGGCAGCATAGAAGAGATGTGGGAGGCAGGCTAGGACCTGGGTGAGTCTGCTGCAGAGGGCACAGTTTGCAGTAGTTGCCCCATACCCAGGGAGGGGCTAGGCAGTGGCAAGAAGGCAGAGTCCTCTTTCTTGCCTTCCACATTTACAAGCCTATATAAACACAACTCCATCCTGCCTCACAGCAAGTCCCAGAAACAATGCTGCCACAACTGTACTGGTACAGCTATGGCAACACACATGCATGTGCACAGAGGCTGGATGCCCATCAGCTACACTAGTTACCTATCCTTTCAACCTCTGTAAGCATCAGACACTTTGACCAATGACCAAAAGTTGTGCTGGCCACCTCACCCAAATGTCAGGAGGCAGAGACACTCCACTCTGGGAAGAATTCCAAGACACTCCAAACTTCACTGTGGAGGCACTGAGGGATGGAGGTTAAGCATCTATAAGCACCTAGCAGCAACAGAGCTTGGGATGAGGCAGAGAAGCAGGTTGTGAGCTTCCTTCAGTGGCTGGATAACTGGGCTTTAAATGCTACACCTAAATGTGATAAATTTCACAAAGAATCGAGAATTACATTTCACATTATAATCTACAAAGTAATTAATGCCTCTCAGTTTCCTCTAATCTTTTCTTCTCTCGTATATGGAGAAAGGGGAAAATGGGCATGTATCCCAGAAACAATGCTAAGAAAGAACACAGAGGCTCCCACAACTCAAAAGACAGGCTGCCTGCAGAACCTTAGAAAGCCCAGGCTCCTTCCTGGTCAGGGTGAACTGTGGAGCACCCTGGTTCTCCTGGTTCCCAGGAATGCTGGACTGGGACTGAGGAGATCAGGAGGCCCTGGGCAAAGCTCCACCTTGGCACTTTTGCTATGCTCCGAAGCTGGGGCACAGGGTGGGGGGCTGTGGTGGGTCTACTCCTGGACCTGAACAAAAGTCTTTGTTTTCTATTTGCACAGCCTGCAGGTCTCAAACCCCAAGTGACAGATGAGAAACAGCTCCCAGCAGGTTGCATCATCAAAGAATTCAGGAGAACATGACTGAAGTACAAGTGTGTGGCCACCTAGAAAGCTCTGTGTTCATCTCCTGAGGGATGCAGGAATCAAATGAAACCAAGACACACGCATGGTGACAGCATCCTGTGATCTACACAGTCCCTGCACCAAGAGAACAAACCAGCACCAAGTCCTCAGTTACTACTCGTGGGACCAGGAGAAAGACAATCCACAGGGCAGCAGAACTTACCATGAGGCCTAGGAGACAGCACAGATGGGAAACACAAAGCCCTTTAAAGGTCCAGGTGAGAGTCAAAATACTAAGATGACCAGGAAAAGTTTCACAGATACAGAATTCAAGCTACACTGAGAAGAGACAATACTGAGATAACTGGTTCTGAAAGACTCAAGAAGAGCTGCTAAGAAATCTCTAAAAAGACAAAAGAGGAAAATGGGGAGGGGTCATTTGAGACCCCTTCTGAAACTACTAATGCTATTTATTGGCTTAGGTCATCCTTGAGAATAGAAAACTTTTTGGCAAAGCTGTACAAACTCCACATGGGGGGTCTTTCCCATACTTGTGGGCTGTGGACTCATGCTGGCCACAGTAAGGGACTCCTCAACAGACTCTCCAATCCTACCTCACCTTCTGAGGCTGGTAGCTGCGGAGTCAGGCTGGGAGCATGGCGGCCTTGGCTGGTGAGTGCATTAAGGAGCTAGGCCAGTCAGGGAGAATGTTGGGATTCAGCTCCCTTCTCTGTCTGGTGGAGGGGAAGAAGGGTAGGGCTGAATGGACTCGGAGACTTCTCCCCTGCTCTTCTGAGTCTGACTTTTCTTGTCACTGACGACAGCCAGGCACCAAGTGCCATCTAGTGGCTCTTTTCCACTCTGGCAAATGACCTGCTGAGAAGACCCACAAGATCAGAGCAGGTCAGCTCCAAGGAGGAGGCAGGGGACACACACCATGTGAGTGACAGGACAGATCACCTCAAGAAAATATACTTTAAAAGGTCTTGCTTTCCTTAAGGAAGCAACCCCCCATTTTTTTTTTCTTTTAAATTTTATTTAGAAAGGCTAACCATATTCATTTGTCAATTTTTCTTCTGCTTTAAGGAAAATAGTTTAAAAAACATAAAATTGTAAATACACTCAAGAGTAACTGCTATTAAACAGTTCTGAACAGGCAGAAAATGTACTTTCCTTTTACAGAAAATGTTAAATCTGTAATAGCAGCATAATTTATATATAGAAAAAAGCTGGCTTTGAAAATCCAGATTTTTGTATGTACAAAACACCTGTCTTCCCTCCTTTTCCTACCCAGCATACAATGTTCACTCTGGGACAGCGTCTTCCCATTAGGAACTTCCCACGGTTGGCAGTTCCCTCTGGTCCCCACCAGCAGTGGGCTTTTAGCCCAGCCTTCAGTCCAATACCAGGGCGGAAAGGGCGTTCAGGTCTTTCATGTATGGATGAGCCATCAGGATCTGGTCAATCTTCAGTTTTTGTTCAGAGTCAGGGAAGATCTTCAGCAGGGCCTCCCTCAGCTCGCTGGTCTCTGCAGAAGATCTCTGTGCTGGCATGGGAAGGTTCTGCTGTATACTGGGAAGGGTGGCCAGGGGTGTGAAGTGGGGCTGCTGAGAAAGCCAAGAGCCTGAAGAGGCTCCCCTGGTTCCGGGATGGAGGCTGGTGGCTGGTGTTGGCTATCTGGGTGTTGGGGCTCCGGAAGCCAGGGTCAAACGTGCCCACATTTGGGAGGACATTGAGTAGCGGCTGCATGTCTCTGTGGATGAAGTGAGTCATGGTGAGAGGGGCAGTAAGAAACCCTATTAAAGCACACATGGCTAACACTGAGGGTCTAGATGCTAGCTAGTTCCATGGTTTCTGAAGGCCATGGGGTGGTGAAATCAGCTCCGATGCACCCAGCACCATTTCCAGACACATGCGAGAACGAGCACCCCTGGGATAGACAGTCCCATCCCCAGGTGCTGTCTGAGGGCAGGCTACAATCACTGGTTCTGCAAGGTTCCTGCTCTTTTAGAGGCTTTTATTCTGGGCAGTGTCAGCTGTCAGAACCAGGGAGAGGCATCCCTCTGGGCAAAAAGGCAACTCCAACAGGCTCAGGGAATCCCTGTCTCCAGTGAGGTCTGAGCGGGGCATGTGTACTCTTGATGCATACGCACATGGTGTTGTATGTGCGTCCAGGGGACACCTGTCCTGCTTAAGCACTCAAACTGATTCTAGCCGCAGCTGAGAAATGGTGCTAATACTACCACCAACTTCAGAAGTCCAACAGCCTGCCAAAGCTCCATTATCCTTAAGAGGATCCAAGCAGCCACCAAGCTCTTTGACGATGACACTAGGTGAGAGGGAAAAATGACCAGGAGGGCTGATTCTGCCCATCAGGCTACTGAGGGAGTGGAAAGGTAGCAAAGAATCCACCTCTAGCTTGACCTGGGCATTGGCTCAGCATGGAGCCCACATACAGCCTCAAACACATGCCTTGAGGCCTGAAATGCTATGAGGATTTCCAATATAAGATGAGGGATTTGGAGGTGAGCTGGACAAGTGTACAGCAGGCCAATGTTTCGTCGGTGTGGACAGATAACCCTGTCTTAGTCAACACCTTCTGTGAGTCATAAAACCTCAAAAGCTCACACACAGAGAGATGATCACAAGATGAGGAAGCTCAAAGTATGCTGGTCTCCATTAGAGAAGCTCCTCGAGTGAGCTGGTGCACAGCCAGGCTCAAACTGATGGTCCCACAGGCTCATGCTATAAATGACTGGTTAGCAGCCTTGAAAGATGGGAGAGAATATGCCTTCTTCTTTTGGGTACCCAGACCAACCCCACGCAAAAACCTGCCAGGAGCGCCACAGAAATAGAGTTTATTTTGATTTTAAAACAGAGAAGGTCTGCCACTGGGTTAGCATAGAGGAGGCTGCAGGTCAGCAAAGAAATAACCTCTACTTGTCAGTCAATGTCAGACAGCTTTCCCATTTAGTGATGGTAAACAGTAGCTATCAGCCTCCACCCCCACCCTACCTTGCAATGATCCCTTAGTAGGGCACGAGTTCACTTAGCACTGCACAGTTAAAACAAACTGCAGAAAGTACATGGAAAAGTATCCCACAAAGAGAACCTGGGCCCAAGTGACTGACAAGCTACCAGCAGCTTGAAAACTGGCTTCTTCTGAGAGAGTGACTCAGGGCTGTCTGCTCTCTTAGGATTAAAATGAAAAGGACCCCATACAGGGCGGGCCTAGACCCCAGCACAGGAGGCAGAGGCAGAAGGGTCCGAGTTTGAGCTTAGCCTGCTGACACAGAGGAAACGGTCTAAGGCAGGCAGGTAGGCAGGCAAAACAAAGCTAAAAAAGATCACAGTGAAGATTAGCCTTGGGTACTTATTGACTGGCTTCTACATCGGTCACATATTGCTAAGTCTAATTAAGGCTTAAAAAAAAAAAATCAAATGCCATTTCTAATTTTCAAGGACAGCATTTGTTCCAAAGAAAAGCATTTGGTTAAAATAAAAAAATTTAACATACGAGGAAATACACAGAAATACCTAAGAAAGACCTCCTTTCGGAGAAATTCTTCTAGCCGAGGTCCGTTTCTTCCCAGGGGGTCATCAGGAACCATAAATATGTCCCCCACGAACGTGTACTGAAGCAGTCTACAACACAAAGTCACAGTGCTGACAATCAGTACTCTTCACTGCTGGAGGAAATGAAACATTTCTCAAAGGAAGCCACCCATTTTGGGACAATGGTCTGTCTAAAAATCCTGCCAGCTAACTGCCCGAAGGGGAAGCAACCCCACTTGCGAGTGAAACTGTTTTAACTTTTGTTGTGGACAGTCATGCAAGAAGCTTTTCTCAGCGGCCACAAATTTCATCCAGACGCCAGCCAGGTATTTTCTAACATATGAAAAAAACATAACTAAAGGCATTCTGCTAGGGACAAAGCAGGTGTGCCACAAAGTGAAAGTGGAAATAAATGTGTTCATGGGCAAACCTGTGATTTTTAAAAGGGCATACCAGAGGCCATGGGGGTCTAGCATCTACACACAAGAAATAAAGAACTCACCGGGCATGGTGGTATATGCTTTTTAACTCTGGCATGCCAGAGGCAGGAGAGGTGGAGCCTGCCAGAGCTACATAATGGGTTCCTATTGCAAATAAATGAATAAATACAACTAGTGTCTACCTGCAGTGCATATTCTGGTTTCCGAGTTGCTTCTGTGAGGTCTGAGAGCAGTGGGTTGATTTGAGCCTCCTCGTGTGCATACTTGTATTAACACACACCAGTGTCCAAGAAGCTTAAGGATTCATCAACTGTGCCTACTAGGTCAAAGATCAACTCTCTCCCACCTATCACCAATACCCTTTTAGCAACATAGAGCTCAAAATGTATTCACTTTCATCCAAGAGTGTGCAGCCAAGTGTTCTCTAAAAATGTAAAGGTGTGGTTCTGGGGAATGACCTCAGGTCCTCAGGCTTGACACATCTCATCAGCCCAAGCCAGGCTCTTTCAAAAATTCCATTAGGATGTAGCAAGTTAGAAGTATCAGACAAGGGCCAACTGTCAAGTCCAGAAATAGACATCCAGATGTGCTAGACATCTACCCACACTGCCCCTGCACAGTCCCTTTATGGTTCAGATCTATGGCATATCCGTCTTATCCCCTGGAACCACAGCACAGCACTTTTGCTTCTTGTGTGACGCAGCTGCTCAAGGGGGCAAGTCTTCTGGGGGCTCACGGAAGCCAGGTATCCACTGCTCTTCAGTAGCTCAGCAACTGAACACATTCACAGCACCAGCAAGAAAAGCTGTGCACTGAACTCATGGAAAACACCAGACAATGAAGCTAGACTTACTCCAGTATCCCCAGTTAGGTGCCCCTCCCTCAGCATATTGCTTTTGTCCCATGCTCTTGCTGGAGTCACAGTATTCCAAAGCTGACACTTCAGATGGCATGGGGCAGGGGTCCAATACTGCAGGTACTCTTAGGAAGCCTGCCCTCACCCTTTCCTGGGCCCACCATGGCAAGCAGCACTGTCAGATAAAACTCGAACAACAAACTTGCAATCAAAGCAAAGAAGAAAAGATTACCTTTTTGTAATAATTTCTCTCCAGGACACTGACTCGGTCACAAATTCTCTGAAGTTATCATTTGTTACAATTATACCCCCAGTCTTGTCCGCTAAGTGTAGTAGGAACCTATGGTAACAAGAGGGTTCAAAATAAGCAAATAGCATGTCTGGCTCAGAAAAGCTGTGCTATAAGGAAATAGCCAGTTTAAAAAAGGCTGGACACAAGGAAGTTTGGTCCCTGTCAACTGAAGATGGATAAAATGTCGAGTATCTCTGGAATTACTAGTGTGATTATAAAACAACTTTTTTTCCCCCATGCAATCTAATTCTACAAAACTGATTTTAACTATGATTCCTACATTTTCTAGAAAAGATCCACCAATAAACCATGATAGCAATGCATGAAGACTTAAGCAGAGGACAAGTTATAGGTAACTCAGCTTTCAGCTGAGTTTACTTCAATGTTAGTTGACAGGTTTGCAATTAAAACAAAACAAAACACCAATCCATTTTCTGCTTTGCTTTAAGAAGACATCATCATTTTAGCCTAAATATAGACAGATTCACTCAACTATGAAAGGACACATGGTGATGAAGTGGTTTTTGCATTTTTAAAAAACAGTTTTAGTGGTGCTGGCATCAAACTAAGGGCCTGGCATACTAGGCAAGTGTACGAGAGGGCACAGCCAAGAAACCACTATGGCTGGATTGGATGGCTGGGGGGAAGTCTCTCTTATTTATTTATTTATTTATTTATTTATTTATTTATGATGTAGATAGGAGACAGAGAACAGCGGGAGGCATCTGGAAGAGTCCAGAGCAGAGAGAGAAAGAAGCAGAATGGATATGGCCAGGGCTATTTCTGTGGTGGGGGTCAATGGGGACATGGCCATAGTGAGCAGCTGGAGAAGCTGGAAAGAATGAATATGGGGGGTGGGTGCCATTCTGAAGAGAGTGGCCTGGGGAGCTTGCACACTGGAGGGGAGGGAGACCATTGAGGTTAGCATGGGGGCTTTGATATTCATAGCATACACATGTTACTAGGCACTGGAGGAGCCTGGAGTTAGCTTCAGGCTTGCTATGTAACCACAGGTATAACCAAGGGAAGCGACCCTTTCTGGTGGGCAGGAATGTGACGTGTGTGAACTTTCATCTCTCTGGAGGACAGCAGTCCCTCTGTAGTTCGGCTTGAGCGGAGCCAAGACTGTCATTTTTGGGGTCACCCACTGCCTTCTGGAGAACTGGGGATCTCTTTGAACTCTATCACTAAACTCCCAGCTCTGTGTTTGAGAGATTGAGGCTTAAATCTCCTAGGTTGGCCTTGAACTAAATAGCCTGAAGATGACCTTGACCTTCTGGTGCTGGGATTACAGGTGTGTGTGCCATTATGCTTGGCTTATAGGGTGCTGGGGATACACAAAGCCTCTCGGACATGGTGATAAAAGGGAGCAAGAATTAAATAATTTTGTTTTATTGCTGAAAATTATCCGTTTAAATCCTCTTAAAATCTTTTGTGAGTAGAAAGGCATGGTACTGCACACCTTTAATACCAGCATTTGGGAGGCAGAGGCTGGTGAGTTGGAGGCCAGCCTAGTTTACATAGTGAGTTCCAGGAACAGCCAGGGCTACATAGTAAGAACCTATCATAAAAAACAACAACAACAAAACAAACAAACAAAAAAACAGAACAAAAACTGCAAAGATAATGGACACGTTATTTCTTGAATAAGAACAAAGATAGTGAAACAAACAAGTCACTGTACTCACAGGTGAAATGGCTGCTCTTAGCAGTGACAGTGACTCAAAAGTGGGACTTAAAACAACTCAACAGTTTCCAGGCTTTTGGAACCTTGGAAAGTTGGTTTTGTTTTGTTTATTAGCCCCAACCCCCGCCCCCAGGAACCTACATACCCCAGGCTAGTTTAGAATCCACTATGCAGCTGAACATGGCTCTTCTGATCCTTCTGCGGCTACCTCTAAAACGCTGAGATTATGGGTTTGAGCCACCACACTGGGCTGAGTTTCTTATTAATGAACATTTAGGTTTCTTCTAAAGAGCTTGACTGTCAATGGTGCTATTTGCCCAGAAGTCAATAAAAGCAGATGGTGAGGCGTCTCATCCTACCCACCAGGACACACACCTGTGTTCTCTGAAGCCCAGAGAGCTATATAGACCAAGCAAAAGCTTCTGCATGTCTGTTTCTGTATTTGAGTCCCCTGGCTGTGAGAAGAAAGCTGTGGTGGTAGAGACCTGAAGGCTTCCCTGGACCTACTGGCCTAACTACTTTTTCACCTGAGCAATTCAGGGTTCCTGAGCCTGTGACGGTGCTGACAAGAACTGCCCCTCCAGGACAGATTCCCAGGACTGACCCTGACCCATGTGCTGCCCTCTCTCAGGTCTTCTCATTGTCTGACAGCACCTTGGATCCACCCCATCCAACCCCGTCTCTTTCCCGTCTATGAGAGAGTGAATGTCAGCAGTGGCCCTAAATCACCTCTTTCCCATTCAACCACATGCCAGCGTAAGCAACTTTCTTCATTGGGACAAGGACAGAGTAATGCAGAGAAGGAATAGACAGCCTGAGGGTCCCACACACCATGCCTGCTACTACTTACAGGACAGCACCAGAGTAGAGCTGTAAAAACTATATATCACTGGGTAAGCTTGGAATCAAATTTCTCCTTCTGCAGGGGGGGGGGGGCAGACATCTACTCAGACCTATGCTCTACATAGTGAATGCTAGGCCAGAGCTGCACAGTGATACCCTGTCTCAAAACAAAACAAACCACTACATATATCTACATTTTCTCACCTCAGACATGCTTTACTAAATTTTAAACAAAACCAAACCTAACACAATAGTGTCTTCTGTGCCATTCCTAACTTCATAGGGTATATAAGCTTAGTAGTGACCTTGATCTCATGTTTTCAAGCTGAGCCAAGCAGGTCCCTTCAGAGTCTACACCTGATTGGTGGAAGGTAGCTAGCTGGCTCCTCACCACCCCACTCCCACCTTGGGAAGGAAAATAGCTCTTCATACCTGTCATCATGAGAAGCAATTCTTTCTCCAAAGACCATCCGGGCAGGAGTTAAAGATAATATTCCAAGCTCTTGGAGCTGGGTTAAGAAGTGCTGTTCTGTTCGTGGGAAGAAGTTGATATGTATTCAGCAAAGGCTATCTTCCCAGATGTGTAAATAAATGAATGCAAACCCAAATATTTCACTTGGGGACTTGCAGAAACCTCTTTTTTCCTACTGACTCAATTTTACTAACTCAACCAGATGAAGAAGGGAAAAAAAAAAAAAAAAAAAAAGAAACCAAGTAAGATTTATACTCAGGCAAAGTCTATATATGAAATGACTGGTAGTTTTTAAACAACTGACCAACCAATGTTAAAAGCATTTGCCTCTTGAGACTAAACCATAGCCTGTAATTAATTAACCCTGCCCCCAAGAACATTTCCAAAGGTATATATTACAAGTAGAATACAAAAAGAGAAATGACAAGAGTTCCCAAAAGGGTGGGAGTGGGGAGGGGACAAGCCCTCTGAAGCAGAGGCAGTAGCAGGAACAAACCACTTCGTTCCAGTCAAGAAAGGCTGTGTGCTCTCCAGCCTGCCTGTAGCCTCCTCCTGTCCTAATCACTCCTAGGTGTCTGTGTAAGCGTTTACTCATTTTCCCAGGCACAAGTAGTGACAGAATGGAGGGCCTATGCTGTCCTGTGGAGAAGCACTCACAGGCAGGAGAAGCTGAGCTGAAGTCAGATTCCTGTGTTTGCATTTCCTACCAAAGCTGCCAGTGACCTGAGCTGACCTGCCCACATTAGGGGTTCCCCACCTCAGAGCTGCCCAGTGCATATGCACTGAGACAGCAAGAAAAGAGTGAGTGTGCCTCGCTCCTATGGCTCTTCTGTTGTAACACCTTCTCCCAGAAAAAGGAAGCTACTCTGGAGTGGAGCAGCCGCAGCACTTCCCCCTCCCTAGGAACTAACTCTCACTTCCTGTTCTGGACTGGACAAATCTATAAGAGATGTCCCCCACCCCCCTTTCTACCTTTCCTTTCTCGGTGCACTTGCTCATGTACTATGCCTGCAGCAACCTTCTGCTTCTCTGGACTACTTCACAATATAGGAGTTCTGACCTTTTGTGTGGGGCCTGTAGGTTACACACCAAGTACCATATGGCAAACAGAAGTGATTCCTGTAAGCCATCAGGCTACTAAGAAGACGTGTCTGAAGGTACAAAACTGACCAAGCAAGTATTCTAAAAATATTATTAAGAAAAATATTATTTAAATACTCAAAAGCCCAAACTAGTAGAGGCATGTACTTTCTAACAGCTACTCTATCCTTCCTTATCACTCCCTTTTACACTACAATACCCCTCAACTGAGAGGCGTGCCTAAAAAATCCTGCTGAGTAGCTAAGGATGTCTCTGATCTTCTTGCTTCGTCCTGAGTACTGGTCTTACAGGTGTGCACCACCACACTGAGTTTTCAATTGATATTTTACCAGACAGAACCAATTTAGAGTGTTGTCATTCAAACTGTTGCCCATGTGTGTGATTCTACTCTAGGTACCCTGTGCTACAATCTGAAGCCAGTTCATTAATTATCTAGCCAGAAGTATAGAAAAGTCACTGGGCCTCACCTGTGACATTAGGATCGCGCCTCGTTCTCCACTGTGGGACAAACACAGTGATGTTTCGGTTGCCAAGCTTCCAAAAATACTCAACTGCAATTGCTATTCCACGACAACTAAAGAACTTCTTTAGACCATGGCTGGAAGGAAACAAGGACAATTTCATTCAGGTTAAAGCCTATGTAAAGCCTAAGTTTTACCACAGAAAAGAACAATCACACACAACAGAAACAATACAAACTGCTTTTACTTTTCGAAGTTGTACAGTCTGCTACTTTACGAAGGCAAGTTAGATCTGCTGGCAGAGTCTTCCTGTGTCTTAAGAGTCTTAGATCTTTGTGTTTGGCAAATTGGGCATACTGTTTTGGTGGAGGCTGGCAGGCTTGCTGTAGTATCTGTTTATTATCATGGGAGTTTAAACTATATTCTACTGGGAAAAACTACTATTGTTTCTAAGTTCTGTCTAATCATTGGCCTCTAAGAATTTTATCTTCCTTTTTTGAGATGTGTACACCATTGAGGCTGACTAGAGCATGTGACCCTCTGCCTCAGACTCCAGACATCAACATCACTGCTGTATACCTCCACAGCTAGCCTAATTATGGAGTGACTATCCTGGTGGAGTTTGGCTTTTTGCTTGTTTGCTGTGTTATGGATCAAGTCTGGGTCCTTACACATGCTAGGCTAGCATTCTACATTGAGCTCCATTGCCAGTGTGCTTCTGAGAATTCCTTGTGAATCTTATCACAGTCAGTAGCTGTGATAATGCCTGTGCTGCGCCTGCCTATGGTTGAGGCAGGAATAAAAATGTGACTCTACTGCCACTACCAAAGTGCCCAATGTCACTGCTAGTTCTGGAGGGTGGGTGGGTGCACCACCCGCTTTCTAGGGAACTGAGAAGCTCCCAAGTCTACAAACTTATAAAAAACAAACTGAAAATAAGATTCAAATGAAACTAACTAGGACTATGGGGACTGTACTGAATGAAGCGGAAGAAAAAGCTAAGTATGTAAGAAACAGGCTAGAACCTGTCAATCTGCAAAGGTCACCGTGGTCACTGTCTCACCACTCACTCTGCCACAGAAATGTGACAGCAGCCACACACAGCTGTAGATGACAAACATGGCTGAGTTCCTACTCATAAGACAGAAATGGGGCCACACTCAGTCCAGTGTGTGACTTCCTGCTACAGAACACACACACACACACTCTCACTCTCTCTCTCACACACACACACACACACACACACACACACACACACACACACACACACACACTGCATTCTCAAGTCTGGCAGTGCATTTTAAAATACAAAAACAGAAACTTCCTGGAGAGATGGCTCATGCTTAAGAGCACTTGCCACTCTTGCAAAAGGGCATGGATTCGACCCTCAGCACTCACATGGTGGCTCAAACCATCTGTAACTCCAGTCCCAGGAAAGCAGCCCTTTTCTGACCAGGCATGTATATACTATACATATACCTAGGAAAAATACTATAAATAAAAAACAAAACAAAACAACCCAGCTGGCTATATGGCTCCACAGGCAAAAGTGCCACAATGTACCATGGTGTGTGTTCCCACCCTCCCCACCCCACATAAATGAATAAGTAAAACATAAATAACCCTTCATCTTTGTCTCAGGTAGTTGAATAGAGGTGGAGGACAGAGGTCCTTCCACACACACATCCTTTGATAGGACTGGCTTCCAAGCCCCCTCCACATTTGACAGGTCAGGGAGAGCAAGCCAAGGCAAACTTTCCATAACACACATCCCAGCCAGCCCTTGCTCTTGGGTGGTCTGGTTGCTAAGGCTCCTTGTGTACCTTCCACACCAGGTCTTCTGAGGGCTCAGTCCAGTCTCCTGTGAAGTTCAGCCTTCCTGTCTTCTCACCTCCTACATTCTACTGTGCAGAACATGACAGAGTGGCCTGTCCGGGGTGTGCAGCCAGACAGTGGCCCCCATTCTTGGCCAATGCCTTTCCATTATCCCACAGTACAACAAAACCCCATTTGCATCCCTGATCCTTGAGAGTAGGAAGTGCTGGATATAAGCAGCTAAGTTGTCAAGAAGTGGCAAAGAGTAGCTCACAAGTTCTCTTTGCTAGAGGATATAAAACCTACTCTTTTTCAGAGACTCATAAAAAAGAAAACTATCAGCCAGGTAGTGACAGCACACGCCTGTAATCCCAGCACTTAGGAGGCAGAGGCAGGTCTCAGTCTCTGTGAGTTCAAGAGGCAAACCTAGTCTATATAGATCAAGTTCCAGGACAGCCAGTGTTACACAGAGAAATCCTGTTTCGAAAAACCAAAAAGAAAAAAGACAAGAAACCATCAGGTCATTAACCCAGAAAACACATGCAAGCGATAACCCCACTGCTGATATGGCAAGGATGTACCAGCAAGACACCTGTACTGTGTGAAAACAAGGGGTAACTGAGTTTCTTGATGTTTTTAAAGAGTAAGTATCACTCTGTTTGATCCAAAGGGCAGGCCTGGAGTTAAGACAGTCAGTTCTAACATAAAGATCCCAAATCCAGAGCACGCACCCAAGTCAGCCCACTTCAGATAACTGGCTTATCCTCCTCTCCTTAAATGCTCCTGCTGACCACAACAGCAGGAGTGGATGTGGACAGAACACCAAGTTCCGCTTGCCAGGTCAATGAAGAAAAGGAGACGACACAGATGGGAGGAATTCTGCTACCCTGGGCTTCTTGCAAGCTTGGGGTGGGGGTGGGGGCAAATAGTTTAAAGCAATAGTAAAACAAATAAAGTCTAGAAGCACCAATGTTGCACCAGTTTTCAGTGTTTTCTATGGTAAAATTATAGCATTTTCCACTCTGAAAACTCCAGAGTTTAAAAAAAAACAAAAAACAAAAAACAAAAAACAAAAAAACAGAGCTCAAGGTTCAGATTAGAGAATATAGATTTATCTAGAAAATAAAACTACAGAAAAAGGAAATGAGGGCTGGGGTGTGACCAATATAGCATGTGTGTGGTCTGAGTTTTAACTCTCAGTCCCAGGGACGGGAGGGGGGGGGGAGAGGAGCCAAGCTGTTGTCATAATATTAGTCTAGTAAGAACTCTACTTTTGGGGCTAATACTCTGACTGGATAAAGTGTGCCTCTGCCCACCAGAAGGCCTCTGCAATAGAGAGGCTGGTGGACAAGAAGTACAACAATGGTCTGCCCTGCTCTAGAGAACATATATTCAAAGTGCACAGACTATAAAACCTTTCTACTTTGGGACTCCAAATAGACCCTGGCTCCACATTCAGGAAAACACTGAGCCTGGAGGGTAAGTGTGTTAGCTCTCCATGAAGATCTGAACTCCTATTCCATGCTGCACAAGTTAAATTACCTGGCTATTTTCCCCCTTCCACATTATAGCAGCCAGTCAACATGTTTAAAAGAGAGGAGAGCTGGGTGACAATAGCTAGCTATCAGTGGTCATCAAACCAGGCAGGACCATGTAAGGAAATATTGTGGAAAGCCCTTTCTTAATTAATCAGGAAAGCATGGCTTCCTTCTAGCTTCTAAGTTAAGAAAAATAGTCATGGAACCTGATATAGAAAGACCGGCAAACAAAATGGATAGAGTGCACAGTTCTGACAAGGGAACCGGCAAACCCCACCTACTCAGAAAATCACCAAAGGAGGCCAGTCAGGTGCTCTTACACTGGAGTTTCAGCCAACACTGTGATGGTGAGCCAGACACCGCAAATATTTCCACTGACTCATCACTTGACTCATTCATGGTGACAAGGGGGAAAACGAACCGAAAACACACATAACAGCAGCATAAGGCAGGTATTTGGTACTTTTTGTGGTATATGAGCTGCAGACATCATCCTGGACCAAACAGACAGCAATCCAGGGAAGAGTGGGAGGGGGCTGCTTCACGGTAGTTGACACCAACAGACCCTACTCTTCAGGCCTTGGATTTCCTTCTAAACTACCATAGCACTCAGCTGTGCCATGTAGGTGAGAGTCACTCAGAAGCACTAATGTGTCCAATGACAACAAGGTCTGAACATTGCAAGTTCAACTTCTGTGAGAGATATAGGCAGTCCCAAGTCTAGGTGTGACTCTGGGTAAGGTTCATGTCATTTCATGTCATGTAAGTTATACCCAGTTCTTGCTCCAAGAAACTAGTATGAAGATTGAATTACAAAATATAATGATGATGACGTACCAAGCTGAGAATGAAGCTCAGCTTCGTATGTCTGAGAACCAAAGTTCAATTCTTACTGCCAAAAAACTTAGGAAATATTTGGTTTCAGTTAAGATATAATCCAGATTGGTGATCAGAATGGCAATGGTGTCATGGAGTTGCAGGTGGTGGTAAAAAGCCAGTGAAAAAGTCCTAGCCTTTTACTCAGCAGTTCTTTATGGAAGCCTGCCACTTCTTCCAGAGCCATAGTTGAGGGTAGTTCAGTGGAACAGTCTACCCGAACTCACTCAAGATGGAGTGAAACAGATGGCCTGTGCAGGAGTCAGTTCTCCCCACCCTTGGGACTTTCTGAGGCGAGTCCTCAGAGGACCCAGTCCCTGGTGCTGTACAACCCACAGGGCTTGCCAATTCAGAGCTACTGTGACTGAATAAAAATGGCCCCGTAGGTCCACAGGGAGTGGCACTTGTTGCCTTGGAGTAGGTGTGTGACTAGGGAATGGGCTTTGAGATCCCAGAAGCTCAAGTTAGTTTCTCTTCATGCTTCCTATGGATCAAGATGTAGAACTCCTCCAGCACCATGTCTGCCTGCATGATAATAATGGACTAAACCTCTGAACTGTAGGCTAGCCCCAATTACAAGTTTTCTTTTATGAGTTGCCATGGTCACAACATGATGTCTCTTCATAGCAATAGCAACCCTAACTAAGACACTAACATGCGGGTGAATCTACATCTAATTAAGTACATCCCTTTTTAAAGTGTTGTTCTTAAACACAAACATTAGTACATTTAAAGAAAAGTCAAATCCTCCAGAAATAATCAGTTTTCAAAACTAGTGAGTGGGCTGGAGAGCTGGCTCAGTGGTTAGAAGCACTAACTGCTCTTCCAGAAGGCTGGGGTTCAGCTACCAGCACCATGGTCAGGCAATTCACAACCATCTACAACCACAGCTCCAGGGGTCCAACACACTCTTCTGACCTCGACAGGCACCAGAATGCATGTGCACAACCTCCCTATATCCCTACCCATACACAAATAAAAATAATGTTTAAAATAATAAGGATAATAATAATTTGTCTCAGCAGTTAAGAGTGTTTGCTGTTCTTAACCAAGTTCAGTTCCCAGAACCCAAGGGGTTCACAGCTGTTTGTCATTCATTCATATATATATATATATATATATATATATATATATATATATATCCAGACAAAAATACACAATAAAAGAAAACAATTAAAAGTACATACTACTAAAATCTTGCATATTCACTTTAAGTGATAGTTACTGTTTTTCAAAAGCAACCACACTATGTCCAAGAGTGTCAGGAAATATGTGTTAATGTCTTGGGCTGTTACGTGTCTGGGAAGGTACACTATGGGCAAAGTGGAAAGGATCAGATATGTATCATATCCTGCCATGTTCAAACAGCACCACTGTACATTCTAATAATGACCACTGTGAGAGATACTAGTGGGCTGGAGAGATGGCTTGGCAGTTAAAGGCTGGGCTCACAACCAAAAACATAAAGGATACTAGTTACCACATCAAGAGTGGATGGATCAGTTGGTAAAGTGCATGAGGACTTAGTTGAACAGATGTCTCAGATCCCCAGATCCCATGTAAAAAGTGAAGGTGGTGGCACACACTTGTACTAGCGAAGAGACAGGAAGAATCCTGGTGCTCCCTAGCCAGCTAATCTAGCCAAGCTGGTGAGCTCCAGGTTCAGTGAAAGACCCTAACAAACACAACACAAAACCAAAACAAAGCTAAAACAAACAAAAACCCAAGGTCGAAAGCAATAGAGGAAGGCATCCAATATTAACCTCTGTTCTCCATACGAACACACATACACACATGAACATACAGCATGCGCAGACAAACACTATCATGCTCAGCCTTGGTTCATCCATGTTCTTATTACTTGAATGTCAAATTGAGAAATCTTTTCACATATAGAAAGGTTTTCTTGTAAAATTAGCATTCCTCAAAATTACTACTTAAATGCTGTTATCACTTAGTTTAGGAACTAACAAGGAGGAACTGGAGCCAGTCTTGGACTACAGGTACCTGAACGGCTCTTACAGTTTTACTTAGATAAATCTATGTAGCCGTGGGGCATTTGCTGGATTTCCCCTAACAGAGCTGCCAAAAGCCAAAGTAAGATGATAACAGGCAGAACTGCCTGGAAATGAGGATACAGCCACAATAGTTTTACTGCCTGCCTTTACACTGTTCAACCTTTGATCCTCCTGCCTTGACCTTCCCAGGGCTGGAATTCAGGAAGGGGCTACCAAGCCCTGTTTATATAGTGCATGGAGTAAAACCCTGGCCTTCATGAATGCTAGGTAAGCAGCCAGCCCCAGCCCAAATTGCCAAATCTGTAATATGTAAAATGGTGGCACTTCTTTTTTTTTTCAATTTTAACAGCAAAATGTAAACATATAATCAATAATTTATTTTTTTAAAAAAGAAAAGCAAAATGATGCTTACACTTATAAAAATCTGCACTGCCAAGCATGGTAGCACACACCTTTAAAGCCCTGCACTTGTATGAAGATACAGAGAGGAGGATCTTCATGACTTTGGAACCTGCCTAGTTGACATAGCAGGCCAACAAGGGCTACATAGTAAGGCCATGCCTCAAAACAAACAGGCCAGCTGTGGAGGCGCATGTCTATAATCTCAGCACTTAGGAGGCAGACTGGACCTTTTGTGAGTTTAAGGGCAGCCTGCTCTTCACAGCAAATCCTAGACAAGGGCTAATGGCGAGGCCCTATTCCAAAACAAAAGATATACACCAAAAGCTGTCAGGGCAGACTTAAAGGGTGAGCTGGAGAACAGCAAGCAAGCTTAAGGTCCCAGAGAAGCCCAAAGTGCTCCTGACTTCCACGCCTGCAGTCAGCAGCCATGGTTCTGTGCTACCCCATGGCTGAGGATTTTAACATGGGCAAACTAGGCACAGTTGCTGCTGGAGACATCTTACCAAGCACACCAAATTCATATGGGACATGACCTAAGAGGTGTGTGGCTTTGCTCCCATCAGCAGTGAGCTCTACAGCTGCTCAGTGTAGCCAAGGACAAGTAGGTCCCAGAGTTCATCAAGAAAAAGCCAGACACACATACACCCACACAGGGAGGGAAGAAGGGAGAGAGGAGGGACAGAGGGAGGAAGGGAAGGAGGGAGGAAGGGTGGGTGAGAGGAAGGAAGGGAGAGGAAACAAGGAAGAGAGAGGAACTGAGCCAGAGTCCTCGCCACACCACCACGAGGAAGGCAGTTGCCAACAAAGTCCCTTCCTTCCTCTGAGCAGTAAATACTCTCAGAAACATTGGAATGTATCTGAGATTTCCTTTCAAGTACACAAAGGGCTAGAGGGAGCTCAGCAGCAGAGCACTTGCCCAACACTCTGAAGAGCCTCCACCCCCGATACCACAGGGAAAATCAACAGAATAAAACAAAGAAAAGTCCAATCACGGAAAAGTGGGTTTAAAGTGGTAGTTAAGCGTGCAGATGGAACAAGACTGGTCATGAACTAGCAATCGTTGAGGATGAGTAAGTAAACCCATAGAGTGTCACCACAGCTTCTTGTTATACTTCTTTGTAAATTTTAATAGAAAAAAAAAAAAGCAGAATAAATGATTAAGTAAAGCTGAGTTCAGTTCCCACATCAACAGAGGGAGGATCACAACTGCCTGTAACTCTGGTTCCAGAGAGTTCAATGCACTTGTCTGGCTTCTTCAGATACCCACAAACACGTGGGGTACACTCACATAAACATACATGCATATACATTAAAAAAAAAGAACAACAACAAATGTTAAGTGGTTGGAAAGATGGCTTAGCAGTTAAGAGAGCTTGCTATTCTTGCAGAGGACTTGGGTTCAGTTCCCAGAACCCACACAGTGGCTTACAACTGTAACTCTAGTCTCAGGGGATCCAATATCCTCTTCTGGCCTCCATGGACACCAGGCATATATGTGGAAGACACACAAACATGTAGGCAAAACTCCCATACACATAAAATAAAATAAACATATGCGCCAGTACTTAATTTTTCATGCCTGAATATAGCCTAGCCAGCCAGCCTGGGCAACTTAGAAAGACTATCAAAATGAAAACTAAAAAGAGTACTGGGGACAATACAGGGGCGGAGTGTTAGCCTCACTCATATAAGGCCCTGTCCAAACATTAGTTCTGGAAAGAGAAGGCATTCCTAAAACTTCAAGACATGAGTTGACCTTTTAGAATTCCTAGAAAGAGGTCATACAGACATTCAACAACAGAGTGTTATTCTTATGATTTAGTGTCTAAGGGAGCTGGGAATGATGGCTCAGCAGTTAAGAAAGGCTTGAATTCAGTTTTAAGCACCCATATCAGGTAACTCAAATCCACCTGGAACTCCAGCTCCAGGAGAACTGACATGCTTTTCTGGCCCCCTCGGGTACTGCATTCATGTATACAAACTGACTTTCAGACACACATAAACACTCAATTAAAAGTGAAAACAAATGTCAGCACTCAGGAGGCAGAGGCAATCGGATCTCTGCGAGTTCGAGGCAAGCTTGGTCTACACTGCCAAGGCTACACAGAGAAACTGTCTTTAAAACCACACACACACACACACACACACACACACATTACTTTTTTTTTTTTTTTTTTTTTTAAAGATTTTCTTGGGGAAGCTGAGGCAAGAAGTACTACAAATTAGTAGCTAGCCTGGGCTACAAGAAATTATCTCACAAACTAGAGGCAGCAGCAAGCCACAGCTGCACTTTTGTACTGGGAATCTAACGATGACACAGATTCATTTACAGCTGTACCCTTTGTGTCAGAGCAAGGTGGAATGGGAAAATATAATCTCAGTGTACCATCTGCCAACAGGAACAGGGTGAAGCCAAAGCTCAGAACTCTAGAAGATCAAATGCAAAAACCTTTCCAACCAGTCTACACATACACAAATGCGCACATGCCCACACACCCACACACACCCACACCCACTTCTCAGACATTGCTTAGAGAACTAGGCAAGAATAATTTGCAGAGTGAACTTACGTAATTGCAACATTACTCCCATCTATAACAATATGCTTCAAATCTGCTCTCCCTGGTTCATTTTTTAATTCCAGCTTGTATGGTATTTTCAGGGTATCTCGAAATCTTTGAACCCCTGTAACTGAGGAATCAATATGATCAGAGGATCCTGCCAACCGTGTATCAGTAACTGAAGGTAACAGCTGGGGCTGGGGCAGCGGCATCGGCGGAGAAAGGGGGGATAATTTGGCTTAGGCTGAGGAGAGTTACAACAGGCAGAACGTTTCTCACAGGCAGGCTTCATATTATTTGGAAGTGAGGGTTCCGCTTGCTGTTGAAAGCCATTTTCAGGAAAAGCTGGGCTTCTCTGCTGGTGACCTGCAGGCCCCCTTGAAATAAAGCTGACTTCTTTAGGACTGGAAGGGGCTACAGAGGGTGAGAGGCTGTCGGTCTCAAGGCCTACATTACAACCGTAGTTCTGGGGTGAGCCCCACATTTCATGTTTCTGTCCTACTGGCACTGTTCTGAAAGAATTAATTCTGCAATTTGAGGTACATGGTTTAGAGTCTTTGAACGGTAACTGGGAAAACTTTTCCACCATATTTTGCTCTGTGTGACTCTGTGTTTTCTTTGGAGTAGAATCTGTCGTGAGCTCATTTGTGCTGCTCCCAACACCCGCACTTCGACTATGAGCAGCATCTGGATACATGGTGCTAGGTGGAAGTGCTCGGTCCTCTTGGAGCCTTTTGTTCTCTTTTTCAATTTCCTCCAAGAGCAATAATGGTTCTGTAGAAGGCCCATACTCCCTAATGACCTTTTCAACAATCTCTTGGGAATAACCCATGGTTTTAAAGAAGTTCACAAGGATGTTGTATTCCATTTCTTCTGTAGTGTCTTTCCCATCGGGGCTCAGGTTTGTAGAGTTAGAAGCATCATCAGATAGGTCAATGACTTCATTTCCAGCCGAAGCCTTACCATCATGCACAAGCTCTCCCTCTGGAACATTCTCCAAAGAAAATTGCTTCTTGGTATGCCTTTCTTCTGTATCAGAAGACCTCCTCTTGTGACAAACTCTGTCTTTGGAAAGTGCATCTTCATCTGGACTTAGACCATTTACTGGAACAAAGAGCACATCTGCCGAGCTAGAAAAGACTGCGTCCATTTGCTTTGTAAGCTCAGAAACAGGGGTCCTGGCTTTATTTCTGGAATCTTCCTGTAAAACAATTTCATCTCTAGCAATACTAGGTCCTGTGGCAGCATTCTGTGTCAACTCTGATGGCTGCACATCTCCAATTTTAATGACATCATCATCTCCTGTTTCAAACAGATTCCCTTCACCTTGGGTGAGACTCAGTAGTTCTTTCTTCAAGGAAGTAGGCAAAATCAACAAATCCATTGTATAATTGTCTGCATGAGCTTCAACAAACTGTCTGAATTCCCGTTTGATTTCCGACTCTTTCTGACTGCTGGGCAGATTCTCATTATTCTCAAAGAGCTTCACAAACTGCTGAATATGACTCCTGGCCATGACCACAGCCTCAGCGCTTCCTCTGATGCCAAGAAGCCCCGTGTCTAAAATGCAGAGGTCAGCACAAGTATCCTGAATTAGGCTCTTTAAAAATAGGCTCTGTGCCCCGACAAAAATGCAGTGCATGGCCTTGGGGTAGCACTCTCTTTCTTCCAGTTCAGGCTCACAGATCCCTTTGATATATTCCTGTAAAAAGAAGACAAAATCAGACCAATTTACCAGATTCCTTAGTACATAAACCTGTAACAGCCAGGCTGATTTTTTTTTTTTTAAATCATGAAACATATTTATAATTTGGAGTAAAATTCCTTGACTTCAAGAAAAATAAAGAATTACATCTTTGGACTTTTGTGTATGGGGGGCTGTTTGTTTGTTTCACTCTAAACTATTTAATCATCTTTAGAGGAATTGAAACTCTACAAAGTGAGAATGCATAACCTTTTCACTGTGTCTTCTTCTGTGATCTTAGGGGCTTGCCTGCCTACACAGTGGATAATCCCAATGCTAGATTCATTTACATCTAAAGAACATCTCCTTGCACCCAGTCTTTTCTCACAATGGGGACATATTCCCGAGATGAGATAATCATATAGTTAATTATGAGAGAACAAAGGCACAGCCTTTGGTTTGCGGATTCAACAAACATGATCATCGGCCTTCCAGGTTTCTTGAAGACATTTAGAAACAAAAAGACTCAAGCATAATCAGAGAATACTAATAGGACTTCTATTGGCTGCTACTGAAGAAGGCTTTGATAAGGTTAAGAAAAGGCACTAGAGAGATGGATCAGCAGTGAATGAACTTGCTGCTAAGTGTGACAATGACCTGAGGAACCCACACGGTAGGAGGAATGAATCAACTCTCTGACCTCTACACACATGCTGCGGCCACACACACACATACTCTCTCTCGCCCTCCCTCCCTCCCTTCCTCTCTCTCTCTGTCTCTCAAAGAATAAATAATAGAAAAAAAAAAAAAAAAAAAACTTAAGGGAACTAGTTTATTTAGCAAGTGGGCTGCTATTGGAATTTAAAAAAAATGAGTCAAGCAATTCTCTCTCTTCTCTCTCTCTCTGAAACACATTTGTTAATACACCCACCAACTTTAGCTCTGGAATGTGTTGGTCTCCAATTGCAGAAATACTACTGGTGTAGTCTTGCTCAAATTATGCAAGCAAAGCCCAGGTTCTTCAACAGCAGAGGTAAGAATAGTGCAGTCATAGAGGGTTAGGGGACTTAAAAGACCTGGGCACACTGTGAGACTGTTACTCTATCATGCTCACACATTTAAATCCAGGTTCTACGTGAGAATATATAATATTTGCCTTTCTCTCCCACACAGCTCCCTTAAGTCCCTTACTCTCCTCCCACCCCACAGTCCTAGGACTTTTCTACTTGCCTTTCGTATCTTTTTTTTCCTCCTCCTTCCCAAGGCAGGGTTTCTGTGTGTAGCTTTGGAGCCTGTCCTGGAACTAGCTCTTGTAGACCAGACTGGTCTTGAACTCAGAGTTCTGCCTGCCTCTGCCTCCCAAGTGCTGGGATTAAAGGTGTGCACCACCAATGCCTGGCTTACTTTTATATCTTAAGGTTGAATAAAACTTCATTGGGTAGATGCACCACCTTTCCTCTATCCATTCATCTTCTGTTGATGGGCATCTAGGCTGGTTCCATAACTTAGTTATTGGACATGGTGCTCCAATAAGCATGAACGCGGGAGTGTAGTGATGTTAACTTTTTTCACTCAGCACGATGCTGTTAAAACTGCTGCATCTGGAAGTGGTGGCTCATACTAGCAACTGTAAAGAAGGGACAGCAAAGCAAGACTGTTGTTTCAGGTCAGCGTTGGCTATAGAGGGAGACCTGTCTCAAACAAACAAAGCAAAACACCGTAAAGACCACACATGGTGGCTTCCAGCCACCGCCACCAACACTACCATGTTACTGGTTGTCTTTATAGAATGCTCCACCCAACAGCCAAAATATGTTCTTCTCGAGAACCCACAGAACCATCAAGATAAACCTTATGCTGACCATGAAACAAATCTCAACAAATTTAAAGAACTGAAATTATGTAGAATGATCTGACCACAAATGAATCAAATAAATCAGTTACAGATAAGAAAAATTTCCAAATGATTGGAAGTTAGAAACTAAACAGCACACTTCTAAGTAACTCACAGGTCAGGGGAATTCTCCTGTTTCTGTTCCTTTCTTTGGAAGGGTACGGATCTTCCCCACCTGAGCTCTCTCTTTACAGTGCTGAGGATGAACCCAAGGCCTTGGTCATGAGGGTAAGTGTTGTTCTGAGGAGCTGCACCACACCTCCTCTAGGGAACTGCTTTCAGGAGTACACTGAACTAAGTGAAAATAATACGAGATATCCCACACAACTGAAGCAGCACCAATGTTTGTTTATACTTTTATTGGCTTTTCCAACAGTCTCAATACAACCCTGACTGACCTAGAACTCACTATGTGGATCACCAAGTGAGCCTTGAACTCTGTGATTCTTGCACCTCTGCCTCCCCTGTGCTGGGGTTATGGGCAGACAGTCATGCCTAGCTTGAAAAGGAAATGTATGACATAAATGCACATATCGGAAAACAACAAAAAAATGGGTATGGCAACTCAAACCTGTAACCTACCTTAACCTTAGCATTTAGGAGGGATAGGTGGGGGACAGATACCAGTTCAAGGACAGCAAGGCTACAAAGCATGAACCCTGTCTGCCTCTTGGGTGCTAGGGTTGCAGATGGTCTCCAAACCTGCCCTCATGGTCCCCAAACTTCTGTAACTAGTGCTTTATCCACTGAGCAACCTTTCCATCCCCCACGTGTATGATTTTAACATACCAGGGTAAAGGCCCATGCTTTGTTTTCTTCCTATGCTGGCAATCAAAGTGTGAAACTTGTATGCATTAGACAAGTGCTCTACCACTGAGCTACATTCCCAGACAAGTTCATTTATTCTTTCATCCTTTCTTTTCCCACTCTTTACAATAGCAGCTGCCTCACATTCCAAGTACATGCATTAAAAAGGCAGCATACAATGCATACTTTTTGTGTTTAGCAATCAAACTCAAAGTGTGGTAGTATAATCCTAGTCTATAATCCTAGCACTGAAAAGGCTAAAACAGAAGTCTAAGTTCTAGGCTACACTATGACACTTTACATAACAAACAAAACATCACAAAGGAGAAAGTAATCAATTGCATTTACTCAGGAATTCACTACTTCCATGTAAACTTTAGTAATTTAGAACTTCAGGAACTTGTAAAAAATTATTTTTTGTCATTTTTAATTATGGGGTAGGGAGGATGTACACCTAAGTGTAGGTGTCTACAGAGGTCAGGGGTATCTGATCCCCTGGAGCTGGAGTCACCGGTGTTGGACTTGGGTCCATACCTTACCTGCTGACCCATGTCTCCAGCCTTCAACTTAAGCAATTGTTATGCAATAACTGTTTGCAATGGTTTCCCTTTACTTTTTCTTTAACTGAGAATGCTCTATTTTACTCTTAAATGATCCTTTGATAGGGAATTCTCCATAAAGGTTCTTACTGTGCATGATGGCACCAATTTTAATCCTAACACTCGTGAGATTGAGGCAGGAGCTCGCTATGAGTTACAGGTCAGCCAGGGTTCCACAGCGAGAGCCTTGAAGAGCAGCCAGTTCATAAAACACTCATTTCTCCATCACAAGACTAGCTGAGGAGGACATACTATTTACATTCTTTGTGACCATGACCCACAACTCAAGCTTGAAAAAGAACTAAAATTGTGTATCTGCTTTGTGAGACAGGTCCCCTGTGATACAACTGCCCTTAAACTAACTCCTGATTTAAAAAAAAAAAAATGCAGTTATTAAAGTTTGTGCCCCCATAGCTAATTTCATATACTGCTTTTTAAAAATGTTTGGGGCTGGAGAGGCATTTCAGAGATTAAGAGCACTGGCTGCTCTTTGAGATGACCCACATCAATTCCCAGCATCCACACGGTGGCTCACAACACTCTGCAACTTTAGTTCCAGGAAGACTCTTCTGGCCTTCATGGGCACTGTATGTACATGTACACAGATATACATACAGGCAAAATATTCTGATGTGCAAAAGGGGGAATAAATCTCAAATAAATAAATAAAAACAGGGGGAAATATCATTCTAACTGTAGACAAAAAAATCATTTTTAAAAATAATTTATTTAGCTTTATGTGTATTGGTGTGAAGATGTCAGATCCCCTGGAACTGGAGTTAAAGACAGTTGTGAACTGCCATGTGGGTGCTGGGAATTGAACCCAGGAAGGTCCTTTGAAAGAGCAGCCAGTGCTCTTAACCACTGAGTCATCTCTCTAGTCCACAAAAGGGAAAAAAAAAAAAATTTAAGAGGTCTATTCTCATTGACATATAACCAATACATATTATTTATATATAAACTATTGAACTTTTTTCAAATTAAGTAATTGTATGATGCTTTGACAAAGAAAATCTAAGCGGCCTCTCTTCCATGAGCAGTCTGGATGGTACATGTTCTCATTTCTACAGAGAACTGAGTACTTTATGACTAAATGACGATTAAGATCCAGCACAAGTGCCCATGTCTAAGGCCACCCAGTTATTTTAAGTGGACTGCCTCATTTACACATACTGTATGTAGGGGGGAACAGAAAGCAACTTTATGTTGAGGATATGGAAAAAGAACCTTGACTTCTAAGATATTAACTACCTGCTGAGCCTTAAGTCCTAAGAATGCTGGCATGTTTGACAGGTAACAGATCTGTCATGAGCTGTGGTTCGAATGCCCTATGGTTTGGAATGTTCATGCAACAGGATGGTTGTTTAAAAAGCCCTTTATTTTTGTTTTTAGTTTGTCTGAGACAGCATCTCGCTACGTAGCCCTGGCTGTCCTGGAACTTGTTTTGTAGACCAGGCTAGACTCAAATGCACAGAGATCTACCTGCCTGCCTCTGTTTCCCAGTGCTGAGATTAAAGGCCTGCACCATCAAGCCCAGCTTCCCTTAAAAGCATTTCTTAAGGCATCTGGGAGCAGGTGTGACATGGCAAATTGGGGCTAAGTCTACAGTCTATAAATGGTTGCCACCACCACAGAACTGACGCTGCCTGAAAATAGAGAAAAGAAAAAGGATGGAGATTTGGTAAACGTCAAGTACCAGGTGTCCCCTTCCTGCCCCT